GCAGCCCGCTGGCCCGGAAGAGCGCAGACTGCCTACCCGAAGAGAAGGTGTTTAAACGCATCCTTCAGTGCCCTAAGTCTTGGGAAGTTCCCCCCCTTATACTAGCAGCCCTTAACGGGGATTCTAGTAGCCCTTCTATAATCCCCATTAAGGACTGTTCGTACAAGGGGGACAACCCACCCCTAAGCCCGAAAGCCCCAATGGAGGGGTTCATCTGAATGGGCACTTCTTGGCCTAACCAAACAGGTGTATGCGTAGCAAAGCAACCCTATTCTGATAAGGGTCTCGTTATCGTTGGCTACTTTTGTAAAAACAAACTAGAACCCCAAAAACGGGGCACAAGGGTGCCGCTGGGCTACCAAGCCAACAAATGGTCCGACAATGTCAGGACCCGAAATGCAAACCCCGAAACCCAACGCAACACAAACAAGGGACATTGGGAGATAACACAAGTGCAAAAGATCAAAACCCAAGTCCTGTTTGTTCGGCATTCACTCTGATTGGGACGGAGGTGAAGTCTACATCAGCGGAGTTGAGAAAGATCCACAGTACGTTTTCCCACTCAGAACGGAAGACTCTGATTTTTCCGCCACTGATAACCCTGAGCCATTTCGGAACACCAAGCGAATGGAAGAAGGCCTGCAGCCCTAATCCCTTCTTCACTCTTCTGGTCGCGGGGCAAGCCTTCAAGGGGAACATGTTAATCCAATACCTGAGGCGCTGTTGGCCAGCGGAACGAGAAACCACGCCAGGCACTATTGCAAGGTCTTGGCCCCTATCGGGGGTAACTTGAATGATCCTTCAAGAAAGGAAGAGTACCTTAATGATTGGCCTATTACCCCTCCTGTAAGGTACAAGCTAGAGTCCGTGGAACTAAAAGGCACTTGGGCCACAAAGTTAATACATGGGAGCCCCTTGTCAGGCCTGTAGGTATCTTCCAATACACATGAAGCCTGAAGGGGTCCACAAGCTGGGGCACGTGAAGAGGAGCTCGCCTGGCTGCCCTGGCTCCTTCAGCAGACAGCTCCGCAGCTGGGGATAGGCTGGGATGCCCCCAAAAGTGATAAGCAATGTACGCGGAGCCACTCACTCTGGGTTTAGGGTTTAGGGTCTAGGGTCTAGGGTTTAGGGGTTAATTTAGGGTTTGAGTCACTAACAGCTCACCCCGCAAAAGCTCTTCGCTTGTCCACGTTGAGACATGTTGTTGTGGCCGAACTGTGGCGCTCCCCCATCTTCCAGAGGCGGCAGGTGTAGTCGTCGCTGCAGGACAAGATCTTGTCCTTGCATCCAGGGTGCAGCCCAACTGCTATGGATAACTTATAAGGTTGGCCCTTTAAACACTCTGAAAAATATTCCGGAATAGGGTCCTCTTAAGCCCGGTGAGGGAAATTATCCTTAAAGCCTGCCCAGTCTCAGTCTAGGGTTAAGGGGATTACAACCCCAAGCTCTTCCACTTGACGTGGGGAACTTTTAGATACGTGCAAATCAGGGGCGCACGTTCGAAGCTATCTTAGTCACCGTTCCGTGGGTTCATAGGCTTTGGGGGGTGTATAGGAGAGTTCTCATGAAAGCAGGCATGCATGACCCCGTGCCTCGCGATAGGGCACCGCTTGGTTCACGAAGTTCAGGTGCCCCTCGAACTCCTGCACTGAGTGCGTCAAACATGGGAGGGTGGGAGCTCACCGCACGTGGGAGAGAGTTGCCAAGCTCTCGTTTCGGAGTGAGCTATCGTATACCAACATACAATGGATATGGATGGGACGGGGGACCCTGGTGCAGAGTTGCTTTGGGCGTTGCAAGCCTCGTGGGCTTTCGAAATCGTGCACCCCATTTGTGAAGTCACGGAGGCAACCCCCAGAGTGTGCATGGAACACTCAATCTCAGCCATGGTCAACAGTTCACCAATGAAATTATATCCTCTCCATACGTGTACTAGACTTCTTGCAAAGATCGAGGGCATTACGCGAAACTGGACATGTCGGGCGGCGGAAGACCTGCTTCACCCTTGCAGCATGCAACCAACCACCCACAGGCTTCGAAAGCGGCACCGGCCCGCCCACTCCCAAAATTGCATTGATGCAGAGCAGCATAACCCTAAACCCTAAACCCGAGACCCGAAACCCTAAACCCGAAACCCGCATTTGTAAAAGGTATGATCACAATCTTTTTCTGATTGTTTTGGCTCCTGAAAAGATTAAAGCTTCTGGCCTCGATCGAGATTCGGGAACACTGGGTGTAGGTTTAGGGTTTAGGGTTTAGGGTTTGGGGTTTAGGGTTTAGGGTTTAGGGTTTAGGGTTTAGGATTTAGGGTTTAGGGGTTAGGGTTTAGGATTTAGGGTTTAGGGTTTAGGGTTTGGGGTTTGGGGTTTGGGGTTTGGGGTTTGGGGTTTGGGGTGTAGGGTTTAAGGGGCTTGGAATGATCCAATCTTTGGGGTCTCGGCAGGGCTGCTGAATCCCCCTCGCTCTGTGCAGAGATGCCCGAAAGCCCGCAACCCCCTAAACCCTAAACCCTAAACCCTAAACCCTAAACCCTAAACCCTAAACCCTAAACCCTAAACCCTAAACCCTAAACCCTAAACCCTAAACCCTATGAACCCTAAACCCTAAGAACCCTAAGAACCCTAAGAACCCTAAGAACCCTAAGAACCCTAAACCCAGAACCCTAAACCCTAAACCCTAAACCCTAAACCTTCAGCCTCAAGAAACTCCCGGCCTGAAGCATCTTGAAAGTCTTTGCCTTGTCTTGGGGGCTTGGAGAGAGGCTCTGGTCTAACTTCCGGATCCCTGTCGAGTCAGTCTCCATTATCGTATGGGTTTAGGGTTTAGGGTTTAGGGTTTAGGGTTTAGGGTTTAGGGTATGAAAGGGCCTCATGATGTAGATCCCCCACACCGGTACTTCGGACTTCGAACCCTTCCTTTCGCAGTTAGGGTTTCAGGTTTGTAGGGTTCCCTAGGCACTCTCAACCCTAAACCCTACACGCTAAGCCCCTAAACTCCTAAGCCCTAAACCCTCAACCAGTGCCCAGGCACATCCCATGTACGGATGAGGTAGTCGATGCTGCATGTGATCACGACCTGAGCCGCGCGCCGGGAACATTTAAGAGTCCTTCTTGGGGCCATCTTCCATTGCGTCTACTGCTCCAACCCTTTTAGGGTTCATAGGGTTCATCGGGTTTAGGGGCTATAGGGTTCAAAGAGTTTATAGGGCTTATAGGGCTCAAGGGCCTAGCTCTACGCCCCTCTTCAACTGTTGCCGTGCCAGGCTTCGCTGGACGAAGTCTGCTTAGCAACGTCCAAAAGCTCTCTTTCAGGGATCCCTAAACCCTAAACCCTAAACCCTAAAACCTAAAACCTAAACCCTAAACCTCTGGAACCCGCAAAGGCAACGATGAAAATGGTGCGCGGTCCTGGGACAGTCGGTTGAGGGTTTATACCGTTTAGGTTCTAGGGTTCTGGGGTTCAGGAAGCGAGCTTCTCTGCCCAAAAACAACTGGTGCACATGAGCTTTGAATGCAATAGCTTCGGCAAACTCTGATTTTAACAGTGTTGGTGAAGGGTTTAGGGTTTCGGGTTACGATTTAGGGCCCGAAAGTTGAGGCTACAACTGGATGTAGGGAGGTGGCTGGCTAATCCGCGAACCCCACGATTACGAACCTTCGGGGGTACCAGGCCTAAACCCTATAAACTCTATGCCCCAAAATGCCCCAAGATGAAGAACCCCCCCCCCCCCCACCACCCACACCTCGCTGGACTGTTGTCGGCTCGGTGGTACTGGCTGCTGGCATGCAAGGGCCTTAAACCCTCGCCAAATGTCAGACTTTCTTGAAAAGGCAGGGTTGAGGGTTTAGGGTTACAGGGTTCAGGGTTCAGGGTTTAGGGCTTAGGGTTTCGGATTTCGGGTTCAGGGCTTAGAGTTGAAATCAACAGGCAGCGCCTTAAGGCTCAATGAGAGCCCGAGCCGTTTTGGGCTCTGGCGATTTTTGTGGCAGCTCGCTTGGCCGCCATCGATATCAAAATGCCAACCCTTGTTCTCGAACCCTAAACCCTAAACCCTAAACCCTAAACCCTAAACCCTAAACCCTAAACCCTAAACCCTAAACCCTAAATGCCCGATGAAGCCAGCTCTTGAAGCGTCTTATCCCACCGCAAGGACCAAGGAAATGGCTCCTTCCTTGCTTTCCTTTGCCCTTGGGTTGGGTGCTGGGAGCCAAGCCAGAAGCCGATAAACAGAAACGGCCCTAAGCCCGAAACTCTAAAACCCTAATATAGGGGCCTTAAGATTTCATTAGGGAACACGACTAGTAATGATTCCGACCCCTGTAAAAAAACCCTAAACCCTAACGCCTGAAGCTCGATCCCTCAGGCAGCTTCATGGACCGGATGCCTTCCTCAGATGTGAGATGCCGTTTGGAACATGGGGTAGGAGGTTCATCTTACAGGGGGCGGGGGGGGGGGGGGGGTTGGGGTTCAGGGTTCCCGCCATAGACATTCCAGCGATGAGTCAGAACCCACAGCTTCCAGAACTGTGTAGACTGGCCTGTCTGAACTTGAGGACTTTGCGAATCAACCTGAACCCTAAACCCTAAACCCCAAAAGCCAGGCCCTTGGGGTCGCAATCTTAAGAGTCATTTCTGCTCGACTCCCGCCTTCATCTTTTGGCTGAAGCTGAAAGATTCACGAGAGGATGCTTCTCCACGGTTTAGGGTTTGGGGTTTAGGGTTTAGGGTTTAGGGTTTAGGGTTTAGAGTTCTTGAACTCAGCCGCTTTGATTGATTCCTGTCTACAACGAATAGACAAGATCATTCTTGAAGCTGCAGGTTCTTTGTGTGACCCCAGTAGGCAATCCGCTACTTCGCTGATCGAACGACGCAAGTCCGACCGGATCCCATACGCTAAGCCCTAAAGCGGAAACCCTAAACCCTAAACCCTAAACCCTAAACCCTAAAAACCCTGAGCATCAGCAGACCCGGCCTGCTGGCCATTTGGTTTGAGGGCGCCCGTTAAACCTGAGCCAGGATTTCCGAACAACTTCGGTCGCCAAACGGGAGGCGATACATGTTGCAAGAACAAGAGCATTAAGCATACATAGATAGATAGATATGTATATACACCTAAAAGCTTCGGTTCGCCAAAAAAAGTGAGGCTATATATGTAGCAACAAACATTAAAATGGCATGAATGAAATACGTGCTTATATATATATATGTATACACACACACACCTATCTACATATATATATATATACACATATACATATATACATATATACATATATAGAGTGTTTTATGAACTTGACTCGACTAGGCTGTCCTAACGTCCAGCACCCGCGTCAGAAACGGGTGATGTAACTGTAGGGTTCTGGGTTCAGGCTTCAGATTTGGGGCTGCGCTTTCGCTAAGCCACAATTTGCGGGGACTTTCTTAGGCCCCCAGTAAGTAACGTAAAGCAACCAACACGGAATTCGAACACCCCAAACCCTAAACCTAAACTCTAAACCTAAACTCTAAACCCAAAATCCTGGTTGAGTGTAACACGAGTGAACAAGCGAACCCAACACCCTACATGAATGGCATCCAAGGCACCCAGATGGCAAGGAAGGCCCTGAAAGCAGGCATCAAGGACCCTTCTGTGCAGATTTCCGGGCTCAAGGTTTCGGGTTTGGAGTGTTTACGTGAGATTGGTTGCACGTCCTAACTGGCCTATGTATCCGTGATACGAAGTAGCCACCTGTGCATCTTTGGGGTTAGGGCTTTACGTTTAGGCTTTGGGGTTTATGTATGATGGTTTAGGGTTTAGGGCTTCGGGTGATCTGTGGCCCCGACGTAAAAGGGATAAGGAGAGTGGCTCGGAGTGCTGCACCCAGTCACGAGTTGCCAGAGCCCGAGCATTCGGGAAGCTATGCGGTAGCTCAGAAAAACAGGGTGTGTTGGGGAGCTTCTATACTTTGACGGGATTCCACTTTATACCTTGAAGCCTAAGCCCCGAATTCTTTAGGCTCTGTTCCATACACGTCTGCTGCCCACGCGGCATGACCGAAAAGCCAAGCACTGCCGCCAATGTCGCTGACCTATGTCTTCATAAGGATTGTATGTCAAGGTTTAGGGTTGAAAGGGTCCAGGATTGGAGGGCTAAACCCTAAACCCTAAACCAAGAAACGCTATAAACCTAATTCAACTTAAAGGGTTTAGAGAGTTCAGGGCTCAATGTGGGTCGTGGAACTTAGCAAGCAAGCCACACCAAACCCATTGAAGCCCTCGAATGCGATTTAAGGTTTAAGGTTTCGGGGTTCCAGCCATGAGCCGCGGTCTTTTTTACGGTTTAGGGTTTAGGTTTAGGGTTTAGGGTTTAGGGTTTAGGGTTTAGGGTTTAGGTTTAGGGTTTAGGGTTTAGGGTTTAGGGTTTAGGGTTTAGGGTTTAGGGTTTAGGGTTTAGGGTTTAGGGTTTAGGGTTTAGGGTTTAGGGATTCCAGCCTTGTCAGCTGTCGGAGGCCGCGCACTACGAACAGGCACCAGCAAACCCGAGCGACCCAAATGATGAATTCATCGAGCGCCCCCCGTGAACTTATCTCCAAAGTGGCGTGCTCGACTGCTCCCCCTCGAAGGCGGGCAACAAGAGCTCCGGAATCGCAATGTACAGAAACCTTGCTTGGCATGAAGGCGTTGTGCGAGTCGCAACCTACCCTGAACCCAAACCCTCAAATCTCTGAAACCCATGGTTCCCAAGCCACAAAACCCTCAACACTCGCTTTGGGGGGGCAGGGAACGAGGAGTTGGGGAGAGGCCGGAACAACCGGAGTGCTTGCACCGAGAAGCTTGACGAGCCTTGTCAACCCTAAACCCACCGGTTCAGGGGTTTAGGGGTTCAGGGGTTTGGGAGTTTAGGGTTGAGGGGTTGAGGGGTTTAGGGGTTGAGGGGTTGAGGGGTTTAGGGTTGGCGCTTGGAATTGTGCTCCCCTGGATAAAGGAACAGGCTAAACTTGTGGTACTCCTGTATGGAGCCCAGAGTGGCGGCAACGGTTCTCTGGTTTTAACATTCATCACTTGGGTTGGGGGCTCACGTCTTGTAACCCTAAAACCCCAAACCCTAAAACCCTAAACCATAAACCCTTAAACCCTAAACCCTAAAGCCTAAAACCCCAAAACCCCAAAACCCCAAAAAGTCCACTATACCCAAATTCCCCCACAGGAAAGCAGGGGCAGTCGAGAGGCGTGCCCGTGGCCGCCGACAGCAGCAAGCCAATGCCTGCCACAGATGTTGGGTTTAGGGTTTAGGGTTTAGGGTTTAGGGTTTAGGGTTTAGGGTTTAGGGTTTAGGGTTTAGGGTTTAGGGTTTAGGGCTTAGGGTTTAGGGTTTAGGGTTTAGAGCTTAGGGTTCAGGGCCTAGGGTTGAGGGTTTCGGGTTCAGGGGCTTGGGGTTTACGGGTAGAAATGCCATGCTATCCTAGCAGTCGACGATCAGGGGTGGAGGAACGAAACCTCCCGGTGCCTGAACAGTGTCGCTCCACCAGGCAGAGGGTGTGGGCTCCATCACTTCAAGCTGATGCTTTCCTACACATGACACGAAACCCTAAACCCTTGACCGATGCTTGAGGCACTTTCGGAGCTTGATGGCCAGGACACGTACACAACCCTGCCTGCGCCTTTGACTTCGTCCACCATGTAGGCACCGATCATGATTCCTGCCAGGAGACCAGACACTTTCATCCCTAAACCCTAAACCCTAAACCCTAAACCCTAAACCCTAAACCCTAAACCCTAAACCCTAAACCCGCCTGAGTCGCTGAACCCGAAGCCAACCCTAGGGGGGTGCCCTTCATTATGGCTAGGAGGCTACACGAGGCAGCCCGACCCCCCCCCCCAAAAAAAAAAATAAAAAATAATAATAAAACAAAGCAGGGGGTTCATATACAAGCTCATCAAGGGGTTCAGGTTTAGGGTTTAGGGTTTAGGGTTTAGGGTTTAGGGTTTAGGGTTTAGGGTTTAGGGTTTAGGGTTTAGGGTTTAGGGTTTAGGGCTTAGGGTTTAGGGTTTAGGGTTGAGGGTTTAGGGTTTAGGGTACAAGCATCTGAGCGAAATCCGGCCTATCGGGCTGCAAACGCCGAAGAGCAGTATGCCCCGATAGAGAATCCACCTGCAGCGTGCACGGAGCTCAGGGTCCCAAGAGTGGCGGACTAAGGGTGTAAGGTTGTTTAGGGTTTAGGGTTTAGGGTTTAGGGTTTAGGGTTTAGGGTTTAGGGTTTAGGGTTCAGGCAAGAAAAAGGGAGTTTGGGGGGGCGGGGGGGGAGGGAATCCTCTCACAAACCACTCGGTGGGAGGTGTTGGCTCTGAAGTCCAGGCCCTTCAACAGCAGACCCAAAGCACGCAAAATCCGTTGGGGCATCGAATCAAGGCGACCTGTAACGAGACAACAAGGCCCTAAACCCTAAACCCTAAACCCTAAACCCTAAACCCTAAACCCTAAACCCTAAACCCTAAACATGAAACCCGCCCCCGAAATGACACTTCTCCGCCGCCTCTGGCCCGGAGGCGCATCCTCTAAAAGCTTTGAGCCGAGGGCGAAGGCCGCAAGGCCTCCCGAGAGAGAGAGAGAGAGCGAGACACAGGAAGAGGTTAGAGAGGTTCGGGCTTAGAGTTTAGGGGTCAGGGCTTAGGGCATATAGGGTTCAGGGAGAGAGAGAGAGAGAGAGAGAGAACAAAAATAACCAACAAAAATCTAATGAAGAGAAGAAGCGCGAGAGAGAGAGAGGGAGAGAGTGGAGAGAAAGGATTCGAGGAGGTTAGTCTTCGGGGTCTTGGGCTTGGGGTTTGTAGGGCTTCGTGTGCTGGCACTGGGGTGCTGAAAACTACACCCCAACCTTCCCACCACCCCCCCGCCGCACCAAACAAACCAAAAAAACACAAATAGATGTGAATATGAATATAATATATCAATGTACATATGAATACACAATGTACAGATATACATACTTTGTTATAATAAGAGGGCAAACACGAAAAACGACAAAATGGGGGGGGGGGAGTTGAATAGGATGGGGAACCTAAACCCTAAACCCTAAACCCTAAAGCCTAAACCCTAAACCCTGCAGATTCAAGCCCCAACACATGTTTGCTAGTTTTGAAGTCCAGCACGAAGCTAGGCCATGACCTCCCCTCCGCCCTTCAGAAGCCTCCGAGTTTAGGGTTTAGGGTTTAGGGTTTAGGGTTTAGGGTTTAGGGTTTAGGGTTTAGGGTTTAGGGTTTAAAATTTAGGGTTTAGGGTTTAGGGCTTAGGCATTCGCCCTCTCCTTTGTGAGCACCCACGGCCAAGAAGATGCTCACGAAGGTGGCGGTGTGAACCTCGAGGGAGCTTGGTCTCAGACATGCCTGCTGGGAAGCTGAGATTCAGGATTCATGCGATGTGGGGAAAGTGGGGGTTTCCGAAGTTAGGGGATACCATATTGGGGTCCTTCTTAGAAGGGAATGCTGCTATTTGGGGGTATCTTGTAGGTGTCCCCTATTTTCGGAAACCCCCAAGTGTGTATGCAGATTCGCAAATCCCACGCTCCTGCTCAACTGTTGCAGCAAGTGCTGGGTGTTTAGGGAAGGGCGGTTTACATGGTACCCCTGAGCACCAAACCGCCAACCTACTCAGAACCTAGGCGCAGTGTTGCAACAAGCCCGACAACCCCACCCATGTCTCACCTGGGCTCCGATACTCATCCCCTGCGGACAGAAAGGACTAAGCGGATTGGGGTTTAGGGTTTAGGGTTTAGGCTTTAGGGATGAAGCGTTCAAGGTTGGAAAATGTGCGGGCTTTGGTGTGAGAAGGGGGTTTGAGGCTTAGGGATTTCGTCCGTATATGAGGTGGGGGCTATGCAGAAATGCTAAGCCGTTTTGTCTATTGCAAAGGATTTCCTGTTGAAGGTAGGGCGCGCCAAAAGGGCACATAATTTAGAATCACCACCATATTAAGCTGCGGTCTTGCACACATCGCGGGTTTTGAGATTGAGAACTCAGTGCAGAACAATCAGGATTCCGAGTTTAGGGCAAGAGCGAATGGCAAGACAGTCTACTGAGGAACAAACGCCGGCAGTGTTTTGCTCAGGTGTATTTAGTTGATCAGGTCATCCGGCGTGCACAACAAAAAGCCATGTCTTCGGTGTCCTCTGCACATCTTTAGGCATGCTCAACGTCAGCTACAAGAACCGCAGCGAAACCAAAAGAATCCAATAGGTCTGGCTTGTGCGGTTTCGCTGCCCTCACATATTTATGTACATGTCGTGTTTCAGGGACCCTATATGCCCTAAAGCCCTTAATCCGAAACTTTCCCGAAAACCCTGGAAATTGAATCAGGGAACTGATCATGAAATCGGATTCCGGAGCCTCCAAGAGCGAATGGATGGTCAGCATGACTAAGAGGAAGAACCCGGTCACGGAGCTGCTACTGGAGTGCCGGGGCGGCTGAGGCTCTCTACACAAAACGATTTGGGGCCTCGTAGTAAATCCTTTGACTGCTTCTGAGGGAGGCTTCTCACCACTGCGAAAGGAACATGCAAGCTGGTTGCAGCACCCAAAGCATGAAGCATCAGCAGCAAGCAAGCCTGCAGCAACCTGCCTGGACCTTCAAGGTACCCCGAGTTGAGGGTTCAGGGTTTAGGGTGCATAGGCCAGTCTTGTGGGCAGCTTGAGGCGTGCCATTCTGTGATGCCGGGTCCTGTCTTGAAGCTTCACGGCCTGAGCTTGGAGGTGAACAGCAAGGAATTGTATCCATACAGCTCATTGAGAATTACAAGTGCCATATACATTTACAAACCATTATCACTATATACTTTTGTCCATGTGCATATATATATATATATGTACATATATGTACATATATATATATATATATATGTCCCACATATATATATATATATACACATGGGGCACACCTTCTACTATGATATCAAATAAAGTGGATAATGAAATGTGAGACATAAAATGTAATGATGTTTGTTCATGTGTACATACATATACATATATACATACAAAGTAAATTATCTGTTGTATACTAGAATATAACTTTACATACATACATACATACATACATACAGACATACATACAGACATACGGGGTATTGGATTTCGGCTTTAGGCTTCGGCTCCAGATCGTGGATCTGAAGCCCTTGACACGTCCAACCTCGTTTTCGGCTTCAGGGTTCAGTTGAGGTTCCTGGGTGTACGGTTTAGGGCTGAGGGTTGGGATGTTCCCCTTATGCTCGCAGTCCTTCATAGGGACTCTATAGGTACCCTGCCAAGGAGTGTTAGTGTAAGGGGGAACATCCCAACCCTGAGGGTGTGAATTGGCTGGAGTCCTGCAGCTGCTTGCAGCGTGGGCCTCCGTGACTTGGGGGTATGGCCCAGGTGTGGGCATCGTAGCATCTGCGAGGTACATGGGGGTGTCCGAAAATTGGGGTACGCTTTTTTGGGGGGTCCCTCAAGGGGATTCTATACGATTTGGGGTAGAAAAGGGGTACCCGCTATTTTGGGCTGCCTGCGCAAGTGAAGCTTCGAACACCAGAACCTCGAATCCTTCACATCCTCGGCGGGTATGAACAGGTCTTGTGAGGACTTACTAATACGGCTTCAACTTAAGGCTGGGTACACTTAGGGCTCGTGAGGCGTTTGAGGCCCCGGCCACGTTCTCAAAGGAGGTTCGCTCGTAGAGCCGCGACAGCGGGTTCACAGACGACTCGGCGAGGGGCCTTGTCCCTGGCAGCTTGAAGGCTAATCCGGGCCCCCAAAGGGTTTAGGGTTTAGGGTTTCGGGGGGGCCCTCTAAACCATCAACTTCCCAAGAAGTCCAGCTCCAAAAGCCGGGCCTGGGTTCAACTCTCAGTCTCACTGGCGCAAAGAGGGCCCGCGAATCGGAGAACGCACAATCCGACCTTCCTGAGGCACCTCTCGAGTTCTCACTGCTTCGTAGGATTTCCCTTCGACAGGAACCTGAATGAACCTGAGACCGCAGGCTCTCACCACTTGCCCAGCCGGGGCTTGAGCTCCCTCCCTAAACCCTAAACCCTAAACCCTATAAACCCTAAACCCTAAACCCTAAACCCTAAACCCTCCTTTCTTCTGCTTCATGAGGGGATACCAGGGGGGCCAGCCGAAAACGGCCAGAACAGTCGCTTTCTTTGGGCATGGTGAGCCATGTGAGGCACCCGGTTCTGCTGGAAAAAGTACCTTCAGACACCGCCACCGGCCCTGTGCATTCTGGGTATAGAGGTCGGAATAATTTGCCAATAATATCCCTTCAAACCCCTTTGAATTATACTACAATAATCCCCAAACCTCTATTCTAATTATCAAGGCCCATATACTATGTTTTACAGTTTGAGAGAAGCGCTCCTTAAAACCTGATGAACATGGGTGGGCGCAGCAGCTGAATCTTGGAGCTCATTGAGATCTCAAGCCGAGACTGGTCAGACTGGGGGTTTAGGCCTTTTGTCTGCAAACTTTGGGTTTAGGGTTTAGGGTTTAGGGTTTAGGGTTTAGGGTTAAGGGTTTCGGGTTTAGGGTCTAGGGTTCAGGGTTCAGGGTTCAGGGTTCAGGGCTTAGGGTTTTCTAAACTGAGATACGAGAATTGTCACTGCTCCAGCACGGGACTTCCGGGAACGTTCAGCTCAGCCCCTTTGTCAGTCAACTGCGCATACGCACCGATCTCGCGCTCGCATCTATACGCGCTGAACTTTATCCTCGCATCTGACTGTTGCAGCTGGATACTCTTTTTTACACATGTCTAAAACATAGTATCCAGTTGCAGCATACATTCATCACATCATGCTTGCCAGCATCCGCAGCCATCAGAGGTATGGACATCTTGTCGACATAGCCCTTCTTTTTGGATGCCACCATTGCTTCCTTGTAGATGTGCACATTGAGCCCGTCGTGTGGATAGATGTACGCTCTTGTGTGCCAACCATACTTCTCCGCTGGCCCAACACATCCCGACAACGCGTAGGCTTAAGAGGAATTTGGGATGCAGTGGATTTGGGCTTCGCCGGGCTCAAGGGCGACCAAACACACAACCGTCGGAGACCTAACGCTTGACAACGCATGTTCTCAAGCAAGAGTCGCTCGCTCCTTGAAAAGAAGGAGCCGTGTAGGGCATCTCCCCCACATCTGAACCGACCAAACCCCACAACTGCTCATGTCACAACACAAGCAGATGGGCACCCGACCCCGCCTGAGTGGTTCAGGTTCATGGACTTATCCCGCCCCTCCAGCGCAGGCAGCGTAGGGTCGGGGCATGAGTGGGCAGTACGAAGTACGAAGCGGCTTTAGGTTCGCAGGGATGGGGGCCTACAAGTATAGGCAAAATGCAGGGCTGAAGATGTTCAGGAAATTTAGGGGTTTTCGAATACATGGGCAGCTCTCATGGTCGCTTCCTGGGGCGCCCCTGCCATGCTCACACCGAACTCAGAAATTGAGCTGACCCACAAATTGGTAAGAAAGAGTGAAGTTGGATTCGCAGGTCCATCTCAGAGCCCGGCACGTAGGTTCCCTAAAACCCAAATCCGGCCTACCGGATTTAACGAAGTTGAACCTTCTAGCCTCCCCTCCGCCTGAAATCTAGGGCTTCAGGCCTTTCTGAAGCTCAATCCTAAACCCTAAACCCTAAACCCTAAAACCCCAAAAAACTTACAGCAGGTGTGGCTCTCCTGCCTTGAGCTGCACGAACTTCTGGTCATCCTCCGCCATGCACTGGCACTGACACTCGTACTCCTCGACCTGCGCAGAAGAAAAACGTGCAGAGCCATTGATCAAGGGACTAAAGGAGGGACCCTTATAAGGGACCTTACAGTGGGGGCTATTTAGGGGTTCCATGAGGTATACATAGGGGCGTTTTTTGGAAGGGCTTCTAGGGGTCCCTGCGTTTACCCCTTAGAATTGAGAAAAAGGGAAGCCCAGATCGCCCCGGCCTGTCTGCGAGCCATTCGTTTCAGCGCAACCTTGGGCAGCGTGGTGGCAGAATCACTTGGTCACCATACTCCCGCAGCTTTCCAGACCATTGTTGGGGGGGGCCCTGGTACAGGGTTTAGGGTTTAGGGTTTAGGGCTTAGGGTTTAGGGTTTAGGGTTTGGGGTTCGAGTCTACAAGCAAAAGGCCACCCCCCAAAAGAAGGCCCATCATCTAGGCCAACTTCCCGACATGAAGCCATAGTCTGCAGCACACGCATAAAGCCTCAGATCCTGAACCATGCATCCCAGCCGTTCCCGTGACGAATGCACACACGAGATGATGCTAACATCTGGTCACAAAACTCTAACCTCGCTGTTCAGTCAGGGAGGCTTCCATAAGGGCGATGCCCAAGAAGAAAAGGCCTCAGGAACACGCAATCAGCTCACGTGCAGGCCTTGATACATGTTAAGACGAGATGCTTTGCACCAAGCCAGACTGCAAATCGATGGCTTTTCATGGGCATGCCCTGGACCCTGCTAATCCAAGCGCACCAGAGGCGAGGGCTTAAGGCCCCAAGCCCTACAACCTAAACTCAGATCGCCTTAGCGCCTGAACTCTTCAGGCAAGGCATCAGGACCCATCCCAAGCCGAGTTCAGGATACCCCCTACAGAGAGCTCCGATACCAAGAAAAGCCTTGAAAGCTTTCCCCCATCGGGTGGGCGCCTGCAAAAGTTGGTGCCACGGGAAAGGTGCCATCCTGAAGATTACGGGGCTTGTCGCCTTTTGCGGCTGTTCAGGGCCTAGAGGGTGTCTAGGGTGTAGGGCTCTTGGGGCATTGAGAGTTCCTGCCCTAAAACCTAAACCCTAAACCCTTTATAGGGTCCACATGGGTTTTTGTTGGGGCTTGTAGGGGGCAAAGGTTAGGATCCCTTCGGGTTGTTGCCATCGGGTGTGCAAGTCTAGGTTGGGGTCCCTCAAGCCCCCTGAAAAGCGTTGCTAGGGTTTGGGGTTTAGGGTTCAGGGTTCAGGGCTTAGGGTTTAGGATTCAGGTTTTAGGGTTTAGGTCTAAGCAAGAGACTTCTTCAACCCAAGAAGGAAACAAGGGAGACAACTCTACGCAACATCAGGGCCTACCTAGCAGGGCCTGGCGCTTTAGGTCTTGGGATTTCGGGGACGGGATTGAAGTGCTGAAAGGGTTTAGGGTTTGGGGTTCAGGGATTGAAGCCGGGTGGTGAAAGGTTTAGGCTTTAGGATTACTTTAGGATTAGGTTTCGGTGGCTGAGATACTGGGTGTCCACTCATGAGGGGAGTTCGACACAGCGTGGGAGCCTGGCTAAAGTTGCTAGTGGGGCTTGGAAGGTCGGGGGTCTTCGAACTAATGGTTCAGGATTTCAAGGTTTGGGTAGACTTCGTACGTTGAAGAATGCGCCTGCGCAGGTGAGGGCAACTAGCTCTAAGTATGCCCATCT